CTCCAGAAACACCATGGCGCCTAACTAACAGTTTTTATTTGGTCCGGGGATGCTGGATGGTCGTTTCACTAATTTATAAGAGTACAGAGCAAAAGTAAACGAATTGATACATTTTATAACTTTATTTCAAACTTTTCTAATCATCTACATTCTACAAGTACAAGTACACGTATATAGTCAGTGTAATAAGGGACAAGCGCGAGCACAGAATTTTTTGTCTCTGATTTTGATAAATTTGGTATCAAAAGTTGCCTCTAAGTGTGAATAATGCAAATTCACCGTGTAGCACGATAACGTCGAGCTGTATGTGGGCCTCCTGTGCATTGCAAGAATGTAAAAACTAAAAAGGATGAAAAACAGGTAAATTCTTGCTTAAAATGCATATACAGATACTTATTATAGCTCCTAAAATATCGAATATTTTGAAATAATTTTTACAGGATCGTAATAAGCTTAGTCAGACGCAAAATTATCAAAAATTTGTTTACAATTTCACACAAGGGACCCTTGTGTTCAGATTTTAATATTTGAAAATAATGTTCCTGATTACGATGCCATAACAATTATTCCATAATAACCAAAACTGTGAAAGTTATAGGCCAAAAACTAAAAATTTGTGCGAAAAAAGCACGGGCGGCGAACAAGCGAAAATTGCTACACGGTGGAATTATTTTATTTACATTTTTAGACAACTTTTGGTACCAAATTTATCGAAATCGGAGAAACAAAATTCTGTACTCGTGCTTGTCCCTTAATAATAATACACTGACTAGTGGTAGTACTGTAATATCCGATATTACAAAGAAAACAACATATATTAACAACATAAAATTCATAATTAGTATTATCAAATAACATTGTCATTAGTACTACTGTACTAGTATTACTCTCAACAGTAACACTCAATACTCGATATATATTACATCGCAGCATGCAGCAGCCGAACGCTAGACGTTTACAGTTACAGTTACCGCAACTTTCGAAAAACATTCTGTTTGCGCAAAATTTTAACATAAAGCTTTAAGTTTATAGGGTCACGGGTACTGGTCATATTTGAAACAAAATCAAAATGTCTTAAATAATTTTATAGTTCGAACACCAGGGTCCCCCGGCCCTTGTATAAATTTTATATCAATTGTTCAAATTTTCTTACAAATTTTTTCGGAAATATTCAGAAATTTATGTTTCTGACCTTGGCCTTTTAAGTACCGGACCTTTTTGTCTCCAGAAACGCCATGGCGCCTAACTAACAGTGTTTATCTGGTCAAAAATTTGTAAGAAAATTTGCACAATTGATATAAAATTTATACAAGGGGCGATCCTTGTGTTCGAACTATTAAATTATTTAAGACAACATTTCTTATGAATTTGTTACTAAATGTTTCGTCTCGTCAAGCTGATTACGATCCTGTAAATATCATTTCAAAATAACTGTCAATTTTGAAGTTATATGCATTTGAAGCTTTAAATTGGTAATTTTTTGATATTTTTTACACGTATTTTGAAACATCTTTGAAATCTATATTTCGCACCTTAAAACTCAAAATTGAGAGAAATCCGGTTCCAAAAACTTGTGTATGATTATCAACTACACTCACACGAACTTGTGGAGCGATATCTCAAGAACTGTTTGATTGGTAGCCATGTACAAGTTTGTCGGTGCCCAATATTTTAATTCCGCTTCGTTCGATACTATTCGGCTCGTAACTTGATTGTCTTTTGCTCGATCAAGTAATCTTTTGGAGAAGTTATTTTAAACGTTACTATAAATATTCAGTAAAAAATAGCTTAATACCTTTAAAATGGCTTAGAAATCGATATTACAATAACAAATTAGAAAAGATAAAAGTGAATTTTTCCGAATGAGGGAATATTTCAAAATGATTTTGAATGTGCCTAAACTTATTGTTTTTTTCCATACTTTCATAATACGAAATAAAATGTTGGCATCAAAAAAGGTTTTGGTGTATGTCCCCTGGCCTTAAGCTGGCGATGAGCATAATTGAGGCATAGTATTCGATATTGTAACTTTACAACATTAGATTCCGACACATTTTGTGTATAATTCCTGCAAACTTTAATGATACTATTAGTATTATTTAACTATGACTACAACTATAATACATCTAGCCGTGACTAATCACTTAAGTGACTCAGTTTCAATCTGTTCAGGAATTACAATCCAGCTTGACGAGTTTCAGTTATTCATTTGCCAAGATTTACCTTCTTGTGTTTTTTGTTCTCTATCAAAGTATCAAATGTCGATAATATTAAAAGTCGCTGCATCATCAACTTTCCATTTGATAATAACTAATAAGAATAATGAACTTGTTGAACTATATGACTTTTTCCCGATTTCAAAACGTTATTCTTCTCTCCGATGTAACGTAACCTTAGTTGTGGGCATGTCCATCTTATTTCATTGTACATAGCGGTACCAAGTACACAAATCTAATAAAACGAATAGTGGTCGGTGGTGTGAAAAAGTGCGGTATTAGGTCAATGAGAATAGTGCGATTCCGCAGTCCGCACCCACCGCACTTATACATGTTGTCTCTGATACTCAATCACAGGTTTGACACACATTTTTCGGATTTGACTTTTCAATACAAATTTAAAAGTACCGACGAATGTAAACGTACGTGGTAACCATGGCAACGTACGTGGTAACCACTAACCATGGCATCGTACGTGGTAACCATGGCATCGTACGTGGTAATCATGGTAACGTACGTGGTAACCATGGTAACGTACGTGGTAACCATGGCAACGTACGTGGCAACCATGATAACGTACGACCACTACCACTTACCAGTCCGAACGTTTCTCATCTTACTTCAAAAATCAAAATTACAGCTGCTCAATACTTCAATAGAGTGATTTCTTTATTTTGAGTATACGGCACTTGGTACTTTGGTATAGAGCATGAAGTATAATTTAAAACTTGGACAGTCTGTTTTCTGTTTACTTTTGCTAACAATTGATAACAATTCAATTGATATGCTTTCAAAAACTGTATAAAAAGCTGTATATATATTTTTTTTATAGCTATACATTTTTATTTCGAGGTCCCATATGCAGCAGAGGCTTAAAATAGGCACTATTATTATATAACGTGTGTATTTTCATTTTGCTAACTGCATGAACGAGCTTAGTTATACTCTCATAGTTTGTGGGAAATGGTGTGTTGGCAAATTATGCAGATTCAATACATCCGCATTGAATATCTTCAATAATTTGGTTTTCTGTTTAATGTCTAGGTCCAACGTTTATATGTTTACATGTTTACATGTTTACATGTTTGTGAATTTATGCAACATAATGTGATTACTGTGCGCAACTTTGTACCTTGAGTACATGAAGTTCACAGTTTTAAAGTTTGTTGATTTCTCATTTCACCACCCCTGCAAATTTTTGAGCAGAAGTAGTCAGAAAACAACCTTATTTGGCCGGCGGTTAATATCCCACCTTTTTAAAAGTAGCTTTGATATCAAAAGATATTTAAAGACTTGTTGCCAGTGTTATTTTAATCTAATTTTTCTGCTAGGCAATTCATAAAAAATAATATATTCCTATATCATTCTATTATACAAAGTAATTCCTCAATTAATTGGTATTGATATCCTTAATTTGTGGGGGGGGGGGGGGGGGGGTGGGGGGCTCACCCTGATTTTTTTGTGATAAACAAACTAGGGCCTATGACCGAACTTTTGAGGGGGTTCCGGACTCCTGGTGCCCACCGGTGCCCGCGAGACAACCACGCCCACTTTTGGTCCAAATTATGTCAAATCACTTTAACATGCTCAAAATTTAAATTTTAGAAAGATTTTAGAAGGATTTTAGAAAGATTTTAGAAAGATTTTTTAAATGCCTGACAAATTTCAGAATTTGGCCGCTACATTTTTTTGAAGGCCTAACTCAAAATTCCACTCCAAAACTTAAGTTTATCATGCAATTCTACGTTGATTCTTGAAAATTTCATGATCAAATATTGAAACCCTATTGAGTTCTATTGTTTTGAGCGAAATCAGTTTTGCGAATATCGCAAACTAAGATATGAGCGATTTTGTTCATTTTTTGCGATTATTTGAACGCAGAATCCACAGTTATAATCTATAGGTAGATATTGAGCTGATAATCAGAGACTGTGCAGTTTAGGCAAACCTTTTATATAAAATTGATTTCATTCAAAAATGTGTAGTATAGGCTTACCTTCCATATAAAGTTGATATCATTCAAAAATATTGATATTAGACCAATTTATGGGCCAAAATTGATCGAATTTTTTTGCTTATGTCCAAATATGGGCATATGGTTTTTGGCTCATAACTCAGTCATTTTTTGTCCAATCTTGATGGAAATTCATATACGAATTCAAGGGACCACTAGTTACAAGTAGAGAACCTACAATCTGGGTTTTGAGGATGTTAAAGTGATTTGGCATAATTGGGCATAATTGGGACCAAAAGTGGGTGTGGCTGTCCCGCGGGCACCCGGAGTCCGGAACTCCCTCAAAAGTTTGGTCACAGGCCCTAGTTTGTTGGTCAATTGCTATCTCCAAATCAAATTTCACACAAAAATCGGGGTGAACCCCCCTTAAGGAATTTTGCAGCATTCTTGCCGTGCCGTGCTGAAGGCTCCAGTTTGTTCTCTGTTTTCTTTACTTTGGGTTCCTATAGTCAGGAATTTAGGTTTAAGCTATTATACTTATAGTTGAGTAGCTGTAAATCTTTGATTTAGGATTCTAAAAACTAGTCTGTTATTGCTTAATAAAGTTTCTAAAAACTAGTCTGTTATTGCTTAATAAAGTTTCAAAAACTAGTCTGTTATTGCTGAATAAAGTTTCAAACATAGTCAGTTATTGCTTTAGTATGAATTCGATGATTTCCGAACAGCCTGTATTTTGCAATCCGAATTAAATATTAATTAAGCCTTCAGTTCAGTACTACAACTTAACCTAATTGGTAATTTCTGCACTTAACAATTGATTACCCAGTACCCAGTACCCACCATAAGCACTGTTTGTTTGGTCAAGAGCAGAGGAAGTTATGTCGAAATCTCTGTCAGATACTCAACTAGCTGATTTTAAAGAAACGTTTACCCTGTTCGACAAAAACGGAGATGGTAAGACTACCAGTACCAAATAAGGTAATGTAACCATAGTAACATTAACTTATATGGTAATGTAACCATAGTAACATTACCTTATATGGTAAGACACCGTAAAAAGATATAATGATGATGATATGTACACGCTGTAAACTAAAGTTGAAAATATTTTTTCCAGAATTCAAATTTTCCTGGCGAGTATTGTTTTCTCAGCTTACTTAGCTTTTCAGTTACTTTTCAGTACCGGTTGGCTTTTCATCTCTTCGACAAAAATTATTGTTTTTTTTTGCGTATTTGAAAAAAAATCATAGCCTTCAGATGATCGATATGAATACAAAAATGGATATAAGAAACCCGACAATCCTCAGGAACTATCACAACAGATGAGTTAGAAGTAGTAATGAGGTCGCTAGGACAGGATCCTACTGAAGAATACCTTCAAGCTACCATCGCTAAGGTAAATCACTGTTTACCTACAGCTCAGTAAATTTAAATGCAGAAAACTTATCAAAAAAAGCAATTCCATAGTTACACTATTAGTTACCATAGTTACACTACTGCAGTCCAGCCCTATTGTTACCTCTACCTGCAACCCTCAGGTGGGGGGGGGGGCGTTACCATAGTTACACTATTAGTTACCATAGTTACACTACAGTCCAGGCCTTATGTTACCTCTACCTGCAACCCTCAGGTGGATGCCAACGGTAATGGATCGATGGAATTTGACGAATTCTTGGAACTAATGACTGAGTACATGGAGGTTGATGAATCTGAAGAAAACATGCGTGAGACTTTCGACGTGAGTGAAAATTGTAAAAATAAGGGATCACTCCCAAAGTTCCGTATTCAGTATACTCACACTCTTTACTTATTAGTGAAACATAAAGCCACTCATGTGATTAAACTAATGATGGAGTAACGATTTGTATTGACCTAATCCATAATCTATGATTCTCCTGTCTCCACTAAATTTCCAATCAGGCATTCGACCTCAACCAAGATGGGAGGATAACAGGGAAAGAGTTGAAGACAGCGATGAAGAACCTAGGCAATGACCTCACTGACGAAGACATCACGAAGGTGATACATGTAGCAAGTGGTAACTATGGTTACCTACCTATATATGGCAGTGTTACTGTGGTAACTGGTAACTGGTAACTGGTGAGGTGTTCAAGATAGCGCCTGTGAATAACTCCCATCTTGCACATATTATATTGTATCTCTATTTCTTAGATATAAAATTGGTACAGTGAACCGTCAATAAAAATTGTTGTCATCATATTGTCGTCATCATATTGTGATCATGGTAACGTACGTGGTAACCATGGTAACATCATGTGATTATGAGACAGAATGTCATATGAAAGTTTAGATAATGTCAATTACAACAAGTAAATTACAACAAGACGTGTATGAGCTGCTGCACTGGTACGTGATATACAAGTTACATTATAACATACAAAATAGTATTTATAAGTAATTAATACAAATTGAAACGACGGGTTAGGTCAAACCTAACCCGTCGTTTCAATTTGTATGTCGTTCTCGGCTTGGCGATTGAGCACTGTCAGCAGACGATTCACATAGCCATGTATCTACGCGTACTGCGTGACGCGCTTGTTTCGGCGGTCGCCGCTAGTCCCACAATTAACGCTAATATATTTCAGATGATAAAGGAAGCAGACCTAGTCCCACAATTAACGCTAACATATTTCAGATGATAAAGGAAGCAGACCTAGTCCCACAATTAACGCTAACATATTTCAGATGATAAAGGAAGCAGACCTAGTCCCACAATTAACGCTAACATATTTCAGATGATAAAGGAAGCAGACCTAGTCCCACAATTAACGCTAACATATTTCAGATGATAAAGGAAGCAGACCTAGTCCCACAATTAACGCTAACATATTTCAGATGATAAAGGAAGCAGACCTAGTCCCACAATTAACGCTAACATATTTCAGATGATAAAGGAAGCAGACCTAGTCCCACAATTAACGCTAACATATTTCAGATGATAAAGGAAGCAGACCTAGTCCCACAATTAACGCTAACATATTTCAGATGATAAAGGAAGCAGACCTAGTCCCACAATTAACGCTAACATATTTCAGATGATAAAGGAAGCAGACCTAGTCCCACAATTAACGCTAACATATTTCAGATGATAAAGGAAGCAGACCTAGTCCCACAATTAACGCTAACATATTTCAGATGATAAAGGAAGCAGACCTAGTCCCACAATTAACGCTAACATATTTCAGATGATAAAGGAAGCAGACCTAGTCCCACAATTAACGCTAACATATTTCAGATGATAAAGGAAGCAGACCTAGTCCCACAATTAACGCTAACATATTTCAGATGATAAAGGAAGCAGACCTAGTCCCACAATTAACGCTAACATATTTCAGATGATAAAGGAAGCAGACCTAGTCCCACAATTAACGCTAACATATTTCAGATGATAAAGGAAGCAGACCTAGTCCCACAATTAACGCTAACATATTTCAGATGATAAAGGAAGCAGACCTAGTCCCACAATTAACGCTAACATATTTCAGATGATAAAGGAAGCAGACCTAGTCCCACAATTAACGCTAACATATTTCAGATGATAAAGGAAGCAGACCTAGTCCCACAATTAACGCTAACATATTTCAGATGATAAAGGAAGCAGACCTAGTCCCACAATTAACGCTAACATATTTCAGATGATAAAGGAAGCAGACCTAGTCCCACAATTAACGCTAATATATTTCAGATGATAAAGGAAGCTGAAGCAGACCTAGTCCCACAATTAACGCTAATATATTTCAGATGATAAAGGAAGCAGACCTGGACAATGACGGTTGTGTTGATTATGATGAATTTGTCAGGATGATGTCAGATTAATAAGAAATTAAATCTTTAAGTGTGATTTATTCCTTTATTCATAGAAAGAGGCAAAAGGTTACCGTTAAATACACTGCACGGTTTAATTTGGGAAGTTTTGATAATTGTTGTGATTTGTGCAACAATAACTATAATTGGGACGACTATAAAAAGTAATATTAATGACAGTGTATGATATTTCTGATGTCATGATCATCGCCAAAACGAAGTAATTAATTTAGTCTATTTATCACACAAATATTTTGCTTTTTGAGTAGTCATTTTACCAAAACCCATATTCATGGGTAGAGTGGACCGCTGCCAGTGTCTCTCTTTCCCAAACAAAAGGAAATGATATTAATTTGATTGACCGTTCTCAAATGCAAAATGATACCGAGAATGAAATCGGTCGCTCGCTTTTTCCATTCATTCACGGCTATACGAATTGTAATAAATTTCGATTGATTACATCAGTCAGATGCTGTAAAAATCTCTTTGGGTTGCGTTCGAATCGATACCTAGTATTTCGGGGTAAGGGTAGTAGTTATTGCTTAATGAATTAGCTGAAGTTTATTGAATCTTTATTGCCGAGTACAGCTGCCTTTGGGTAGATCTTCTTAATCTATTACAATTGTAAATGAATGGGAAAAGCGAGCGACCGATTTCATTCTCGGTATCATTTTGCATTTGAGAACGGTCAATCAAATTAATATCATTTCCTTTTGTTTGGGAAAGAGAGACACTGGCAGCGGTCCACTCTACCCATGAATATGGGTTTTGGTAAAATATCATCTCTTTTTGATTATAATGTCAGGGTACTTTATAAAGTCGAAATATAAACTGATATCTTCATTAATTAATAAGGAGGAAGTTTCAACGATTTCGAAATTTTCCTTTAAAAACATTTCCTTGTGTTTAGGTAAGCATATCGGTCGATCACTGACTGAATATGCCACCTAATACTCATTCAAGTTGGCATTAAATTCATATATAATGACATTAAACTGTCGTGGCAAAGCAGAATTTGTTGGAAATCACGAATGAGCAAAATTCTCACCTTTCGCACGTGCAAACTTTGAGCGGACGTTGCGTGCGCATCCAATATTGAATCGCCGTAAATTTTTTCATGTAATTGTTTTATATATAGCTTGATAAGCATGCAAAGTTTCAAAGTATTTCAAGAAGAACTGTAATCACAACGGCACTCTAAAGTTGACAGAAAATGACGAAAACAGCAATTTTCAGTGATTTTAGCACTTTTCTATCAATTTGGGCGTGTCCCCACGTGTGCAACTTTTCGATTTTCAACTTCAAAACTAGCCTAATGCACAATTTATACCTAAAGGAAGCAGAACTGAGCTCCTCAACTCAAGGCATGGCCCAACACCAGAGAATACTAAATCGCAAAATTGACGTTTTTATAAAATAATTCTTCAAAAAAGCACAAACTTCAATGACGAATATCTTTATGAAGAAGCAAGCTAGAAAAACTTTCCGGTAGATTTTCAGAATGCTTGAACAATTATCTAAGATAAAAATCTCCTCAGATTTTGAATAAAATTACTCCTTAATGGTTTAAAATTAATTTTAAAAGTTATTACTTTGTCAAAAATCAAGTTTTAAAAACGGTTAACTTTATGACGTCATCAAGGGGTGTTTATGACGTCAAATAATTTTTTATACAATGTAAACTAAAGTGTAAACAATTATTTGCAAGACCTGTGGTCAGAAATGGCTTTATCTTTTATACTTTTGAATCTATGGACAATTAAATACAGGCTACAATTGACTGGCAAAGCGTCTATCCCTGAATATGTATGTATCACAATGCTGGCAAGCATTACCGTCGCCCTTATATTCACAACACTATTTACCCCCTATACGATTATATCCCCTTTATTGTTTTCCAGGCATTAAGACTCATCGAAAGTAGTTCAGCAGGTACATTTAAGTTCAAAACATTCTAATTCAATGTTGAAGATGACAGGAATAAGAAATAGTTATATGGAGGTTTTTAAGAAATTTGCGCAAAATACGCGCCAGCATGTTATACGAAATTAGGTAAAAAACCCAAAATCGCCATATTCAGGTGCCTTAAAAATCATGTTAAAATTGAGTTAGAGATCTGAAACTTTGCAGGGCGTCTAGACCTTGTCCAAATCGACTGTAAAAAAAATGTCATGTTTCAGGAGTATCGGGAAGTGGGTTTTCTGGAACCCCTGTTTTACGACAGATTGTCGTGAAGATATATATATCACAGTGCTGGCAAGCACGAGCGGTGTCTTTATTGGGGGTATACTATGTACCCCCTTTACTATTGTACCCCTTTACTATTATACCCTCTTTACACCCCCTTTGGTAAACGTCGGAAGCCTCTTTCGTGCACGCGAAGCGTGCACTCCGGCCGGAGGCGGCGGCCGAAGGCCGCCGCCTCCGACAGGAGTTTTTCAGGCATTAAGACTCATCGGAAGTCGCTCAGCAGATATATTTTTAGTTCAAAACATTCTAATTTGATGTCAAAGATGACAGGAATAAAAAATAGTTATGCTGAGATTTTAAAGAAATTTGCATAAAATACTCGCCAGCACTGTTATACGAAATTCGGTAAAAAACCCAAAATCGCCATATTCAGGTGCCTTAAAAACCATGTTAAAATTGAGTTAGAGATCTGAAATTTTTTAGGGCGTCTAGACGTTGACCAAATCGACTGCAAAAAAAGTTTCAAGTTTCAGGAGCATCGGAAAATGGGTTTTCTAGAACCCCTGTTTTACGACAGATTGTCGTGATATATACATACATAAACAGGATTAAACAGGATTAAACAGGATTAAACAGGATTAAACATGAAATTACCAGAGAGAACACTAACGGACTCGTCTTGGCTATACAAGGATGAATAAATAAATCAATAAATAAAATTATTAAAACTGAATCATTTAAAAATTATTAAAATTTAACCGTTTACAATTTCACGAAAATAAAAGAAGATCGTCTATAATAATTTAAGGTAATACAGTAAATAAAGTTCGAGTACGAGGATTAGGACTTATTTTTAGGATTTCGAAGGTTTGAAGAGTCTGTTAGGTATTTCCCGAATTCTTTTGTGTGACAAGAGTTCATTATGGTCCTATACTCTTTTAGCATTACAAGGCTTTTCAGGTTATCAGAAAGCTTTGAGCGGAGGGAGTGGTATCCAGGGCATTCAGTTATGACATGATCCTCAGTTTCTAGGATAGGTGTTTCAAAGAAAGGTAGCTCTTCGAAAAAGCGAATGACGTCTGTGTCTGGAGAGCAGCAAAAACGACACGTTTTCAATGCTGTGTTGTATCGATCACTAGTATATCGACCTTTCTCTACCCTCAGATCGTGACTGCTAGAGCGAAGTTTAGCAATGTTAGCTCTCTTAAGCCTGCACGGAATCTGTAAGTACTGTTCTTCACCAAACTCAGGTTTGACCGCGGTGTAGAATGACATCTTCGGCTGGTTGTGAAGATCCTTTTTCCAGTGGTTCACAAAGGTTTCGTGTATGTGCTCACGTGCTGCAAGAGCGGGGTGTAGGTTTGGTTTAGCGGAGGTGCTCATCTTGATGATAGTGGACCAAGTGTCATACCAGGTAAGGTTCAGTTGTTTCTGCTCCTGAAATGTATGGTGCAGAAGTGTGTTCACGTTACCTACTACCGCTTGTGATGCTCTATAGAAGTAGGCAATACATTGAGGGAGGACGGTCACTGTCCAGGGGGTTCTTCCTGTGTCGCCGTAACAGAAGTTGTTATTTGCCTTTTTGTGGACACCCAATATCCATTTAAGAATTTTTAGGTGAGTAGATTCGAGAGCATCTTTTGCTGCTGCTTTTGGGAGACTCACTTCTTGGTTTTTTGAGAGAATGGCTTTCGCGATGTTGGTCGATGGCAGCCAAACAGGGCATCCGTATGTAGCTGCTGGCTTGACTAAGCTATCGATGAGTTTTAGCATCGTGCTAGTGGAGAGTGCTCTCGTGTCAATAATTCGTCTCATAGAGAAGAACGAGCGTAGAGCTTTTTTCCTAAGCTCGTCGATTGCTTGTTTGAAGGAACCGTTCAGAGAGAATTGGATTCCAAGGTAGCAGTATTTTCTTACTGGTGCGATGTCCAAGTTTCCTAGTTTAAATCCGTAAGCACATTTGAGTATTCGTGAGCTTGTGTTAAATACCATCACACTGGTTTTGTTGATGTTCACAGACAACTCCCACTTTACGGCATAGTCATGCAAGCAGTTCAGCAGTTTCTGTAAGCTGTCCGCATCCAGCGCTAAGAGGACCAGGTCATCTGCCCAAAGGAGGTGGCTTACTTTTAACACCGTTTAGGAGGTACATCCAATTCCTCAATTTGTTCCAGCCTGATGGAGAGCTCGTGGATATAAAGTTTGAAGAGCTCAGGGGACATTGGATGCCCTTGTTCTGTACCGATCGTAACGTCAATGGCTGCGGAGAGCTTTTGGATCAGCTTGACTCGGGTTGAAGAGTTGTTGTACATGTGACTGATGCATTCGAAGAATTTGCCTGCTATTCCCATGTTGCTCAACTTGAACAGAAGTGCTTCCCTACATACACTATCGAAAGCCTTGCGATAGTCAACAAAGCATGCGAATAGTCGCTTCTTCTCTTTCTTGGCGTATTTCTCAATGATTGTATTTAGGGTGAGTATGTGGTCATTACATTGGGCTCCACTCCTGAATCCAAGTTGATAGGGTCGGTCAGGACAGGCTCTTTCTCTGAATTCGATTAACCGTTTGAGGAGTAGATTCGAAAAGAGTTTACCGAGACAGCTCCCAATTGTTATGGCCCGATAGTTATCAGGGTTTTGCCGGTCACCCTTCTTATGGAGGGGAGTTGTGATGGAGTTGTTCCAGGGGTAAGTTCCATGCTGGAGGCAGGAGTTGAAGAGTTTTACCACGACGAGTTGGAGTTTCTCGTTGGAGTTTTTCAACATTTCGTTGGATATCAGATCATCGGACACACTCTTATTGTTTTTGAGTTTTTTAGTTGCATCTTTGATTTCCTGTAACGTGAATTCGCGATTCAGTTCATCGACCAGTTCCTTGGTAAGCTGCGGGTTGTTGGACAATGGAGTAGAGGTGACATCGTCCCTTGAGTGATCGTTCCTACCACACTTCCGGTTGTAGAGATCATTAAAGAATTTGTGGAAGAGGATGAGATCGTAAATGTCGAATGGTTCTTCATCTTTGTACTGGTCAGATAGCCGTTTGAGTGCTGCCCAGTTTACATCTCCACTTTCGTTTATCTTCTGGTTCATCTCATACAGGAATTTCCCCTTTTTCATCCTCTTAATAGCTCGGTATTCCTTTTTTCTGAGGAAGTGCTGGTCACGAAGGAAGTTGCTGTGTGGGTTACTGTTGGCATTTCTGTCGGCTCTGTTGGCCTCCCTTTTAGCATGTCTACAGCTTTGGTCAAACCACTTTTTCTTACTGGTGCGTTTGCCACTTTTGGTCGTAGTAACAAAATTCGCAAGATTGTGGTATGTTGCAACCACGTCTTCATTAAGCTGAGCAGCGTCGTTTGCTGTGTTCACTGGTTGATCAAGGAGGCAGTCCATTTTGTCTTTGAATGACTGATCATTCTGTGCCAGCCGGAACTTAGTTGCTGTGTCTGCAGAGAGGTTCTCTGATAAGTTCCATTTGAAAGCTTTAGGTGCATCTTGGATATCTGGCGATTCAAGACTGTTAGAAATCCTTCTTAAAGGGTTTGTCGATATTGACATTGACAGCGCTCTGTGATCGGAATATTGAGAGATGCTCTCAATTTTCAGGTGGCGGACTCTGTCATGAAGACTCGTCGAGACGCAAATGTAATCAACTGTGCTGACACCATGCCGCTGAATACAGGTGGGTTCACCGAATATGTCGCCGAGAGTTCTGCCATTTAGGATGACTAGGCCTGTCATCTGAAGGAGTTCGATGAAGGGTCGCCCATTCGTGTTTAGCTTTGGGTCTGAGTTATTGCGTTTAGCCAGCTTTTTAGAGAAATGAGCGTCGAGCTCTGTATCCTTCATTAGACTATGGTCTGATAACATGTCGTCCAGAGTGCCAGTTCTAGCATTGAAATCCCCGAGAAGAATGATATCCTCGTTCAGAGGAACTCCAGCCAGGAATTCTTGAAGATCCTCTAGAGTTGACATACTGTCTTTAGTTTCCAAACCTTTTCTTCGCTTCTTGTAGGATCCATTTTTAGGTGAGTCATAGACATTGATAATATAGGTGTTTCGGTCTAGGTCGAAGTAGTTAGCTTTAAGCTTAACTACAACGATATCTTCCGTGGAATTCATACGAACGTTGGTTACACCAGCTTTTAAGCTTTTGTGAACTCCGATACATACTCCGCCTGAATTTGATCCCTTCCTGTTAGAGTTAAAGCAACAGTAGTTACTTAAGTTGATCTCCCCTTTTGTTTCTTGCAGAGCAAAAATATCGTGGTTTTCAAGTAGTTCACGAATTTCGGTTATATCAACCTTGGCTCCTTCAATTTTGTCCCGAGAGTGGTTGATATTCCAGCACAGAAACTTAAGGGAGTGGCGGGACCTCGTTGATGTGAGTTTAGTCATTGCTAAACCTGTTGGTGCTGCGTCTTGTTTTATCATTGTCGTGGTAGCTTATTCGGGGGAGTCGCAGGGTCTTCCTCAGACCCTCCCGGAGGCGAAGCCAAAGCATCTTTTGACCTCTCTGCCTTAGCTCGAATCCAGTGTTGAACGAATAAGAATTTTGATCGCCAATTTTATCGTTTGAAAAGGTGAAGATCCTATCTTTGACATCCGGCCTGTGTTTGTGGAGCCAGCTAACATGGTTTCTGGTCTCCTCATTGACGACTTGTATTTTTTCATTGATGCTAGAGTTGTTGGAGGAGGGTATCAGCGCTGAAAAGCATATTTGAGCCTTTGTGGTGTTCAGTAAATGTTCGTAGAGTTCCTTCACATTGCTTACAAGACTTGATTTCTTTTTAAGGAAATCATTGCTCCCTGTGTGAATGTAAATGCACTCAGGTCTTAGTCTTTTTATAGTGTTGTTGAGCTTCTTTGATTTTTTCAGCATATCTGAGTAACTATCTGCTTTAAAACAGTGAACATTAAACTGACTGTTAAAGCGCCTCGGGTCAAACTCGTCAAAGCTCTCATCATGGATGAGAAGAACTGTGTGACGCCTGTAGCTAACCTTAGCTTCAGCGGCAGAGTTTGTTTCACTGGAACCCCGATCGGGGGGGTTAGTATGTTCTATTCTGTTTCCGAGGTCATATTGGCGGCTTCTAGTGTTGAGGTTCTCCCGACTTCGCCTCATTTCGCTAGAGGGTCGATCGCCTCTAGAGCCCCTTTCATTGTGGTTTTTCATGTTCTGCTTGTTTGCCACCGTGAATGGCGTCTTGTTGCTTTGATCAACCCTCTCTGCCCAGGACATCTCTGCTTGCTTGAGCTCGCTTTCACCTGAACGTGCTGTGGCATCGCTGGAGCTGTTACGGTGTACTCTGCATATATACATATATATATATATATTCAGGGATAGACGCTTTGCCAGTGAATTATAGCCTGTATTTAAGTGTCCGTAAATTCTGAAGTATAAAAGATACAGCCATTTCGGACCACAGGTCTTGAAGATAATTGTTTAGACTTCAGTTTAGATTATGTTAAAAAGTAATTCAACGTCATCATCACCACTTGATGACGTCATCAAGTTAACCATTTTTAAAACTTGATTTTTCACAAAGTAGTCATTTTTCAAATCGATTTTACGCCATTGAGGAGTAATTTTATTCAAAATTTGAGGAAATTTTTATCCTAGATAATTGTTTAAGCATTCTCAAAATCTACCGGAAAGTGTTTCTAGCTTGCTCCTTCATAAAGATATTCGCTATTGAAGTTAGTGCTTTTTTAAAGAATAATTTTATAAAAACGCTAATTTTACGTTCTAGTATTCTCTGGTGTTACACCATCCCTTGGGTTGTGGAGCTCAATTTTGGTTCCTAAAGGTCTAAATTATGTCATAGGCTAGTTTTAAAGTTGAAAATCGAAAAGTTGCACACGTGGGGCCACGCCCAAATTGATAGAAAATTGCTAAAATCACTGAAAATTGCTGTTTTCACCAATTTCTGTCAACTTTGGAGTGCCGTTGTGATAACAGTTCTTCTTGAAATACTTTGAAACTTTTCATGCTTATCAAACTATATATAAAACACCATCACGCAAAAATTGACGGTGATTCAATATTAGATGCGGACGCAACGTCCGCTCAAGGTTTGCACGTGCGAAAGGTTAAAATTTTGCTCATTCGTGATTTTGAACAAATTCTGCTTTGCCACGACAGTTTAATGTCATTATTTATGAATTTAATGCCAACTTGAATGAGTATAAAGTGGCATATTCAGTCAGTGATCGACCGATATGCTTACCTAAACACAAGGAAATGTTTTTAAAGGAAAAATTTCGAAATCGTTGAAATCACCTCCTTATTAATATTAATGAAGTTATGAGTTTACATTTCGGCTTTGTAAAGTACCCTGACATTATAATCAAAAAGAGATGATATTTGACCAAAACCCATAATCATGGGTAGAGTGGACCGCTGCCAGTGTCTCTCTTTCCCAAACAAAAGGCAATGATATCAATTTGAATGACCGTTATCAAATGCAAAATGATACCGAGAATGAAATCGGTCGCTCGCTTTTCCCATTCATTTACAATTGAAATAGATTACATGTTATAAATCGAAACTTATTACAATTCGTAAGCCATGAATGAGTGGGAAAAGCGAGCGACCGATTTCATTCTCGGTATCATTTTGCATTTGATAACGGTCATTCAAATTGATATCATTGCCTTTTGTTTGGGAAAGAGAGACACTGGCAGCGGTCCACTCTACCCATGATTATGGGTTTTGGTCAAATATATAATATATATGTATATATGTATAGACGCTTTTGGCAGTCAATTGTAGCCTACATTTAAGTGTCCGTAGATCCAAAAGTATAAACGATACAGTCATCTCGAACCACAGGTTTTAAATATAATCGTTTAAGCTTTAGTTTACATTGTATTGAAAAATAATTTAACGTCATCATCATCACTTGATGACGTCATCAAATTAAGTGTTTTTAAAACTTAATTTTTGACAAAGTAACAACTTTTCAAATCGATTTTACTCCATTAAGGAGTAATTTTATTCAAAATCTGAGGAAATTTTTAGCTTAGATAATTGTTCAAGCATTCCGAAAATCTACCGGAAAAGTTTCCTACCTTGCTCCTTCATAAAGATATTTGCTATTGAAGTTAGTGCTTTTTTGAAGAATAATTTTATAAAAACACAAAAGTTGTGAATTAGTATTCTCTGGTGTTGGGCCATCCCTTGGGTTGTGGAGCTCAATTTTGCTTCTTAAAGGTCTAAATTGTGTTATAGGCTAGTTTTAAAGTTAAAAATCGAAAAGTTGCACACGTGGGGACACGCCCAAATTGATTTAAAATAGCTAAAATCACTAAAAATTGTTATTTTCACGATTTTTATCAACTTTGGAGTCCCGTTGTGATCCAAGTTCTTTTTGAAATCTTCTGAAACTTTGCATGCTTATCAAACTATATATTAAATACCACTATGCAAAAATTTACGGTGATTCAATATTGTATGCGCACGCAACGTCCGCTCAAAGTTTGCACGTGCGAAAGGTGAGAATTTTGCTCATTCGTGATTTCGAATATATTCTGCTTTCCACGATATTTAAATGGCATTATATATGAATTTAATGCCAACCTAAATGAGTAAAAAGTGCCATATTCAGTCGGTTATCGACAGATATACCTACCTAAACACAAGGAAAAGTTTTCAAAGGCAGAATATCGAAATCGTTGAAATTATCTCCTTATTTATGATTATGTTAATGAAGTTTCGACTGTGTAAATTATCCTGACATTATAATCAAAAAGAGATGATATTTGACCAAAACCCATAATCATGGGTAGAGTGTACCGCTGCCAGTGTCTCTCTTTTCCAAACAAAAGGAAATGATATTAATTTGAGGAACCGTCCGCTAATGCAAAATGATACCGAGAATGAAATCGGTCGCTCGCTTTTCCCATTTAATAAGCTTTATTACAATTCGTAAGCCGTGAATGAATGGGAAAAGCGAGCGACCGATTTCATTCTCGGTATCATTTTGCATTAGCGGACGGTTCCTCAAATTAATATCATTTCCTTTTGTTTGGAAAAGAGAGACACTGGCAGCGGTACACTCTACCCATGATTATGGGTTTTGGTCAAATATATATATATATATATCACGACAATCTGTCGTAAAACAGGGGTTCTAGAAAACCCATTTCCCGATACTCCTGAAACCTGAAACTTTTTTTGCAGTCGATTTGATCAACGTCTAGACGCCCTGAAAAATTTCAGATCTCTAACTCAATTTTAACATGGTTTTTAAGGCACCTGAATATGGCGATTTTGGGTTTTTTACCGAATTTCGTATAACAGTGCTGGCAAGTATTTTATGCAAATTTCTTAAAAATCTCAACATAACTGTTTTTTATTCCTGTCATCTTTGACATCAAATTAGAATGTTTTGAACTAAAAATAATTCTGCTTAACGACTTCCGATGAGTCTTAATGCCTGGAAAACTCCTGCCGGAGGCGGCGGCCTTCGGCCGCCGCCTCCGGCCGGAGTGCACGCTTCGCGTGCACAAAAGAGGCTTGTAACGTGTACCAAAGGGGGTATAATAGTAAAGGGGGTATAATAGTAAAGGGGGTATAATAGTAAATGGGGAACATAGTATACCCACAATAAATGCAACGGTCGTGCTTGCCAGCACTGTGATATAATTATAAGTCAGTAATATTCATTTTGGTTCTTTTACATTTTCAACTTGATTGTCTGCCAGATAAAATTCAAGGCGATCGATACATCAAAGTTGTTACTATTGCTCTATCGTAATATAATCAACATTTATTTTTAGCTAATGCTCCATTTGATATTGTTTTATCAACTTTTAATTTTACCGGGCAAATTTGTGTTTATCATGATATTCGCGAGATTTTTGATTTTTAGCGTGCGTTTCATTTTGTGCTAGCTTATTATTCTCCGAATTAAGACCTAATATTATGATTAACCTAGGGACATACCTACTGCATGTTCGATATCATGACATGCGCAAAATATTGCAAACAGTCTTATAAATAACCGGCCACAATTCTACAACGATACATCCGCTGCCAATAACACTAAGAAAGAGTCTTGTGTGAAGAAATTATAATCTAACACGTCATAGAAAAATAAGGTAAAAAACGGATACAATTTTTTCAGAAAAATGTCTTACTTTAAGGTGGTTGTACGGTACGTACTTCTCATCTTAGAGTATCTTGTGTGATTAAATTACAATCTTTTTCTTACATTTTCTCTGATCAAGTCCGAACAAGGATTGCTCTATGAACTTGAAGTAGTCAATGTGGTACAAAATGTGGTCATTTTAGATTTAACTGACGCAAGAAATTTTGGGAATTCTCTGCGATGATTTCTTGGACCTGTCCTGACCATATTCCGTTGAAATCGCTTTGTTTAAAATTATTACCGACAAATACTTACATTTTGACATATTGCACTGGTAAATCTACAAATTATTTTTGGGGTGTTGCTTACCGTAATCGATTTAATTTTAAAAGCATGAGAAAATCTATGAAAGTTTAGAAAATATTTCAATTAGCTAAACCTTATTACCTACTACGATGAAATTTGAAACTAGAGAGTGATGAATTCCTCATGAGGTTTTAGCGGAAAGACACATGATCTTTTTTCGATATATACATTCTCTACAGACCATATAGGTATAGGTATATATGGTCTGTAGAGACTTTAGTCAACTCTTCACAGCTGTCCATAAAAAATGAATTGTATAATGTATATTGTACTCTTCTCCAATGTATACAAAAATATTGGTTATTGCTTCCAAGTGTCAATCTTGTTCCGTGATCGTACATCACCATTAAACACAGTATAATGTAGGTATAAGAAATAATGACATTAGAGTTTGAAATCCAATATCTTTTTCCAGGCCTCTAACTCAATTTACCTCGCGGAGATTTATGACTTTAATTTGCACACTCTCGCATACATAATCATGTAATATATGTTGTTGTTGTGCTTATTTTTAGTGATTTGATCGCTGCATGCTGTTCATTTGTTTTGTGCATTCTGTAGTAAAATGATTTAAATTATTATATTAATTATCTCCATAATCTCATCAGACTATGAACAACAGCATCATATTTTGCTTTCACCTCTGTAAACTTGAATTATTGAATAACATTATCATGATCCTCCCTATAACTAAACACTACAAATTACAATGTAAATATCATGAGCCATCAATTATAGTGGAGTGTGTAGCTTGAAACACTGTTAAAAGTTCTAGGAAGCCATTTGCTTGCAGCTTTGTTTCGTTTTCGATCCTGTTTCATGTGAAATAGTCACGCAGTCAAGGAAGTCAGAGAAGTCAGGAATCATCTCTCAGTATAAACTTGCAACGTTGGAAACAGACACACATTTGTAAATACTGAATGGAGTTGGGTTAGAAACATATAAGAGATACGATGGTTTAACTTGTAGAAGCTTTCAATAAACATGTGTTAATCGTCGTCAGCATTTGTAAATAGTCACGTGATGCCCTAATTTGGTCACGTGATCAGGTCACCACGTGTCAAAATTACAGAAGGGAAGTCAGGAAATCTCTAAATATAAACTTCAATAGGTTTAGAAACGAAGGACCCAACAAGATGTTTAATCTGTTTGCCAGACGAACAGGTAAAGAAGCTAATTTAATCTTATTTTAATGGCAATCTCTTCTGAAGTAATATAGTTTGATAGTTGGGGACGAAGTTAGAGTCTCCACTCAGTGTTTCAAAACAATTAGTTGCCGACATTTCGGCACAAGCCTTTGTCATAGACAGGACTTTACAATAACTTACATAGCTAATAAATGTAATAGATTTTTAGTATTGTAACTAATAAGTTTAAAACTCAAAAGAAGCTGATAATTCGGACCATCATAACTGCACAAAAAGGTATGTTTATCTTTATGAATGCACGTGATACACATTCTGAGTTGTTAGATAGCAATCATAATAATGTAATTACAGCACTACAAATCTATTACATTCATTTAGTATTATGTAATGAGATGGAAACGTTTTTACCATTCCACCCTGGATCCATAATTAAATAAATATGAAGATGTTTTAATTTTTAATGAAAAGCTCGAGTACTATCATTGCGCTTTGAATCCCTTAGTCTAATAGCTATATTATAAGATATGAAACACAATAATACACTCCCAGGCCGTTCCGCGTCCGGCAAGTTCGCGTCCTCTCACTGCCAGCCCACTGAAACCCGGAAGTGGACTGATGCAGAGTACAAGGCTGCGTTCCGGATGTTTGATCGGGACCGGGACGGGACGATCACAAAGTACGAGCTTCAGAAGGTCCTGGGAACTCTGGGACAGGAGACTACGGAGGAGGAAATGGATGAGCTCATGGGAGATGTGAGTATTTTTTCTATCCACCTTTTTGCAAGATGGTTAGAAGTGGTAGAAAGTGAGGTAGAAAGTGAGGTAGGAAGTGATGTAGGAAGTGAGGTAGGCTTTTTGTGTCAGGTGTCATAATGATAAAAGAAAACATGTGCTCCTTCATAAAGAAGGAGATGAATGAGCTGATGGGAGATGTGAGTATTCTGTTTTTTAGGTTGAACGTAATTTACTGGTAAAATATTTTTTCCATCGCCTTAAAAAGGCATTAGATGGTTAGAAGTGGTAGGTCGTAGGATTTGAGGATGGGTATAGTGGGTAGGAATGTTTTTCGTACGGTGTCACAAAGCAAAACATGCATAACCCTCCGCATAACCATTTAAATGTATCTTCTCTGCGCGCGGAGCAGTAAAGGTGTAGTCGTCACGGTTACCCTCCGCACACGTTTGCACGATTCGAAGATTGTATTACACTATCAAATGCGCGGCGCGGCGCCAAGCTGACTGAAGTTTTTATAACAGTTACGGTCATTAAATGGGTCAGCGTACGTATGTAATTACAATAATTTATTCTGTTGTTTTAAATGGATTTTAATATAAATAATATTGATCACTGATGCGCTACAAGTACAAGTACAAGTATAACATACTAATTTCCGTTTTGTTGTGAGTTATTGCAATTGGTGCAACAACCGACTTGGCTCCCGATAATGCTATTAGAAATTAGAAATTAGAAATTAGAAAGATCATTGCAAAATTACATGTGTCAGAACTCAGATCCCAATCAGTTAAATGATGATTATTAATTATTATTATTATTAATCAACTATTTACAGCAAACACAAGATAATAGAAATTAAATCATAAAATCGAGTGGCCGAGTAGTCTCGACTCACCCATAACTTCTCCAAAAACGTCTATCATGAGCTTTGTACACTAAATCGTTGAAATTACTTAAACTAAATCTTTTATTTACAATCACAATAATTTGTTTCTATTATTAATAATCCGTTATATTGTTGAACGAGCGTGCTAAATCACTTTACAGTCGATCTTCGAGATTGTTCTAAAATTGGAATTAATATATCAAATAATAGGGTTAAGGTTTCGAATAGTCGTTCAGGGCCAGCTAGAGAACGGGTTGCAAAAGTTAAATTACGTGATAGTCGAGTGCAAAGTGACTAATCATCATGATCATCCTTTGTTGAACAAATTATGATGCTCGATATTATTTTAAACGTGATTTTCGAGTGATTGATTTATTATACGAGTGATTGATTTATTATACGAAATTAGTAATCCGTTATTATATTGTTATATAAACCATGATGTTGATTTTATGTTGCCGTTGGACATGATACTGATCGAGAAATTGATTTATTATACGGAATGGACGGTAGATTTTGTTATTATTAACATTATAACGGTCGATGGAAATCTAGCGTCCGCTAACCGCGGCGCAATTCTTGTTAACTTTTAAAGAGTTGTTTAATTGTAATACAGTCGCCTTTTCTTACTGAACAGCTTCAAAGAATAAGTTATTGACTCAATCAGATCCAAAATATACTGTCATTGAACTATGGCGTGGAATCAAATAAATTCACAACGTTGAAAAGAATCAGATGAACTCGAAAATCTAATCTTATCAATACCTCTATAATGTCTATATATAGAGTATATATACTCTATATATATAGTCTATATATACACTATATACATGATATAGAGATGGGTAGTGAGAGATATTATCACTTAACCCCAGTGCACAAAGCAGTAATATAACTATATAACAACTGCAAAACTCTGAAATATTTACATACTGTCTTTTTATCGAACTGTGGAATTGCAGACGAAATCGAAAATTGTATCTTATCAACACCTCTACAATTCTATAATTCTATAATATATAGAGCCAAGGATGAAGAGGGAGTGAGATTCTCACTGTTTTACCAGAGTCAGACCCAATATGACGCACAAAACAGTAATTTAATACCACCACCAGCTCTTACACCTGGTCTATCTGTGTTTCTTAGTCAGCTTTATAGTTAGACTTGCTCAGATATTTTACATTTTATTATACACTATACAATATTATACATTTCATCTTACTCACTAATCTACTAAATACCAATGAAGGATATCAAGCTATTTTAGGTTCATTCAGACTTTGGGCGATCCTGTTGATCTTGAGTTTAAACATCGTGTTTTAAACATCTTTTGAAAATCTTTTAAAGATCATGGGTAAACAATAAGACTAGAAAATATTTGTTGTAATATGAGATGGTCGAGAAGTTACAGTGCAATGATTCAGAATTGGTGGTTGAGATAGTAATAATAGATGTGTTTCTATTCTATATAGGAACTCTGAAAATACTTTGCATCGATTAGAATTAGTCTGATAATGATTTTTATATGTATTTTGATTGGCTGCCATTTTACTGCAAAGAGAATTGCTAAAACCGCCAATTCTCCATAAGTGCACTATTAAGTATTATAGTATTCGTATTGCTATAACATAACTTAATGATTCAATAAATGAAATATCAATGTAATGACATTGTAGTGATAGTGTTATGAAACTTGATTACCGTGATTGTATTAAAAGCTCCTCAGTCCTCAGTGTAGCTGATATAGTGTCTTGTTAACATACCATCACATACCTAGTATAACACTAACGTGTCTAGAACCTTTGTCTTTCCTGTAGGAGTTTATTCAGTTTGTTGTTGGGGCCCCGCTGACCCCGCTGTCCGGGTGCCATCTTAGGGGGGCGCAAAATCGTCGTTTGAATGTGGGACAATTTTGAAAAACGTAACTGAGGTACTAACAAAACTGCACGTTTTGCTCTAGAAACACACTTTTTTAGATATTTTACCGGCGTATCCTCTAAGATCACCTAATTTGTTCAATTTTAGGGATAGGCGCCAAAACGGGAGGAGGCGCCAACAGGGGGGCGCATTTTCGGCCCCCCTGTTGGCAACGTTACGCCACTGGTTGGGCGCTTTAAAGTTCATTCTCATACTGCAGTTATTGTAGCTTTGTTTGCTGGTGGGCGCTTTAAAGTTCATTATCAGACTGCAGTTATTGTAGCTTTGTTTGCTGTTGTAACTTCAGGAACTATGGTAAAACGTTTGAGTATATAAGTGGGATTTATACCTTAATGACAACGGAAATTTTCTCGCAGAAAGAATTTTCTTTGTCATAGGTAATTGAATAACACATTGCATTGAATAAATGACATCATGTCTGAGACAGAAAGCAAAACATAATAATACTTATTTGTCATTTATCATTTTCTTTGTCGTAGGTAATCGAATAACACATTATTTTTTTGTAAATACAACCTTATTGTGCTAGAATTTTTATGAGATCAAAAAAGATTTTTGAAATATCCGAGTTATACTTTTCCAATTTGTTTTCTCGAAAGCGGGTCCGGGAAAGTTATAAAGTTATACTGATAATATTTATTAATTTAGACTGCTGGGCGCTTTAAAGTTCATTCTGAGACTGAAATTCTTGTAACTATAAGTACGGCAGGTTTTGTTTTTTGCCATTCACCATTTCTTTGGAAGAAACGATTTTTAAAATAGGACATTTTTATAAATTAATTACTCTATAGCTCAAATTAGTAAAGTTCTTACTTAAGTTCTATAACCTGTATAAGGCGGTTGTTTTAAAACTCAATGTTGACTGGACTTATGACCTTCTAAAAAAGAGTGAATAGCATAATTCCAGTATCGCTCCCTACTTATATAGTCCTATGCCGTCCAGAGGGCACCCGATACACTAGGCACAATGCTCAAAGTCAAATAATTGAAAGGTCGGATACTTCAACTTACATGAGTACTACAGCTGTGCCCTGCTCGGATGCCTTCCGAAATAGCTTCTTTCATAGATGAAGATCTATGCTGAAATGGAATAGTCTACCAGTATATGTATCCGGTAGTCAGAGCGGATTTCTACTTTTAAGACCAAACTGATCAAGTACCTCTGGGCTGCCGATATAGTCTGGCCAGATTAGCTCATCAGTCTTCTCATATGATTCCAAGAAATGTTTTTTTTGTTGGTTATAATTCTGTCCGTCCGATTTCCTGTCCGCTTGTCTCCCCTATTTTTTTTTGTTCTCAGTTGTGATAGAATTGTATTTGTAATGAGCAGAATACTTATAATAATTTATGATATGATTCATGTTTGATGTCTTGTTATTGTTTGTCATGCAAATTTGGTAGACGGCCTCAACGTTAATGTGGCTCTTGCTAAGTGTTGGTTCAGCCGAATTAATTATTATATAATAATCAAGTTTATTTTTCTTGTTTAGTTAGTTGTCATTCGGCCACACATTAAGCAACTTATATTGCAGTACCATTTATCAATTAGTAAATCAAAACATGTCATTGTAATTTTGCATGGCTGAAATGTAACGCTTGATTTATATATATTAATAATTTATATATATGTAATAATAATTAATTGAATTTTCAAATAAAAAAGGACTCTTCGTGGAGAAATATGTCTGTCAGTTCGAGGAAGGGGGTACTGAACAAACTTTCCAGGTATCCATGCAGACTAGCAATAGATTTAATCATAAATAATTAATATCATCATGATGTTCAAAAATGTTAAAATAATTAACAATATCCATATTATACATATATTAAGACATTCGCTTGCCATTTTAGAACGTTAGACATCTCTTATCTTTCCTGAATTCACGAACCTGCTAATCACCACATCCCAACCGGAAACAGCCCAACCGGACTGACTGATGGGCAAGTGAAAGCAGCATTTCGCATCTTTGACAAGAGCAAGAAGGGAGTAATAACGCGAGGTGATATTAGGAAGGTGCTGGTGGTGCTGGGTCAGGAACCAGGGCTGCAGGAAATGGATGTGCTGATGGAAGAGGTGAGAGGATATATCGAGGCGAACGTACTTATTCATAGGGGATCTTTTATTGCTTATAAATGTATTAGTATAATTCAAAGTGGACGCTCTGTAGAAAAATCGAAAGCGAGCTCCATGGCA